TATATATATATATATATAAAACAAGCATAAGAAGCACTGTAGAAGTGGTTCATAACATTTTTGTGCATTTTTGTGCTATATTCCAAGTCTTCAGAAAACATTAAGTACAGCTGCTTTCAACATTGATAATAATAAAAAATGTTTCTTGAGCACCAAATGAACATATTAGAATGATTTCTGAAGGTTCACATGACAATGAAGACTGGATTATTGGCTGCTGAAAATTCAGCTTTGTCATCACTGGAATTCTTTTTGAAATATATTTAAATAGAAAACAGTTATTTTAAATGACTTTTTTTTTGCTGTATTTTTTGATTAACTTGATGTGGCACATTGTAATTTATTATTTATGTGGTTGTCAACCTTAAAATGGCACCTATTTCAAAGAATGGCCCATGTAATTTCTTGACCAATTATTGACTGATTTGGCAATACTAGGGGACGTTTTATGATGCTGAGCAAAATGAAAATTCTCTTTGTGAGGTTTAGACTTTTAGTTTGTCTGTTTAATCTCAAGACGTTTCCTCTGTTTATCAAACGAACAGAAGAAAGGCAGATTGCTCACCCAGGCCCTTGAGGAGTTTCTTATCAGCTTTTTGCTCCTTCTCTGGACTGGCACCAGCTTCTTGTGGGTCAGCCTCTTCATCAGCCTTTGCCTCCTCTTCCTTTTTCTCCTCAGACTCCAGGATGGAGATCTGCTCCTGCATCAGGCTCGATGCCGCTCCATACGTGTTGATTATATCCTCTAGCTGCCGGCTGAAGTCCTCCATGGGGTCCACTGGCTGCTCCTCAGGGTCATTGACTTGTTCATTGGCGTTCTCAGAGGTCTGGTCACTGCCCTCCATCATATGCTGCAAAAATCAAGTTAAATATATCATAAAAGTGCTTCATAAGAAAGCAGATTGATTAGCAGAGGTAGAACAGCCAATTCCTTGATTACACTCTTAGCTTGATGCTGAAATGAGATTGTTGAAATTAATGAGAAGTGATTATGCATTACTTGTAGAGAGGTTTGAAATGACTCCCTGAAATCACCAGCCACTAAAGTGAAGACGGATGGCTTTTGGCCAGTTTGTGGTATGTTTGCATAAATAGAGGGAATTTATGTTCGATATGCATGAGGTTGTTTGTAAGAAATGGGCATTTAAATTTGGGGAAATTAAAGAAAATTTGATTAATGTATTTGCCTTAGGCAGAAACAATACGGATAATAGAGAAGTGACCTTGAAAAATAAATAATTGCAGAAATGTAAAAATGGAAATAACTGAAGGGAAATGTAAAGTAATTTGTCTATACAATAACGATGGCCAATTTAATTAGTTATATCTATCTCTTTGTCTTGTTTTGTTTTTTTACATGTACTGATATTTTGTTAATATTTCTAAATATGTTTATATATATATATACAGTGGGTACGGAAGCCTAGAGGACGGCTAGAGGACGGGGTGTGGAGAAAATAGCACAAATCACAGTGGCAGAGTATCGCTGAGCCTCTAAATCTGATGTGTCACTGATAGCGCCAGGCCTGAAGCCCTTCAGCTCTACACAGCTGATTTCATGTGGAATGAACTCTGAGATTCCAGAGGTTGTTTATGTCCCAGCTCTGTTGCTTATCAGGTTAAAATTATAGCCCCCATTCCAAACCCCATGTGCATGCATCCACCCCTCCTCCTCACAATGATTGTCAGATTTTTTTAATGGAACAGTTTATTAAACCTTTATACAAAATCTAAAAGAAAATCTGAATAAAGTTTCCATATGTGTTTTTTGTTAAGTATGATATAATGAGAATATGGAGCGCATACTTGAGGAGGAAAAAAATCTCAGAGGCCAAACTTGAGCAAAAATATACAATTTGGTGCAGTTGCTAATATTAATATGGCCAAAAATGAATGAGAATTTAAATTCTGATAGCTTGCAATATAATCAATGAGATATTTATAACAGTATAGCAGACTGCTTACATAAAATGCATGTTAAATATCAGTTGTCAGGAGGTTGGAGGTTACTCTCAATCAGACGACAGGCATGTAGTAGGTTGTGTACAACAGGTTTTACATCAAAGTTTTGATCATTTTCATCATTTAGAACACTTAGAAATTTGCATATTAAATATGATACACTTGGCTTTATAGGGTAAACATGCAGATCTGAGCAGCCCTCACAGTTATTGACTTGTGTACTGAATGCCTAAGGACCAATTTCTTGTAACAATCTGCTTAGTATTGGGTTTTCACAGCTCCTATTAGCATTTATTATCACATTTGTCCACCATAATTCCAGTCAATTGCACTCTAATCACTTCAAATCATGCAAATGGAGAATTGTGAAGTGATTAGCATCTCCAGTGCAACTCACTCCATAACAGCGTTTTTGTCTGCACATTTCTAAATATTTAAAAATATTTGGCATGCAACTGTGAAACACGGCTACCCACCCATTCACCAAACAATATCATGGGGTCTTTAATGTATGACCTATGTAGTGCATTTTTACGCACTGATATTAGCAAATTTGGGCATCAGAATCATTACTTTGCTATTTGCAATAGCTCTTACTAAAAGCACAATGAGTCTAAACCAGGGGTGCCCAAACTCGGTCCTGGAGGGCCGGTGTCCTGCAGAGTTTAGCTCCATCTTGCCTCAACACACCTGCCTGGAAGTTTCTAGTATGCCTAGTAAGAGCTTGATTAGCTGCTTCAGGTGTGTTTGATTAGGGTTGGAGCTAAACTCTGCAGGACACCGGCCCTCCAGGACCGAGTTTGGGCACCCCTGGTCTAAACTGTTGGAGGGTCATGTTAAGGATTTGTAAAGAGTGGTGGGCGATAGTCTTTACCGCAGGTCGTCTCTCTGATAATCCTCACCCTCTTTGGCTTTTATTAGGGAATCTTTTTAATCACCAGATAGAAATGATTCTGACTTTGGCTCCAGGCTTAATTATTTCTCTCAGCCCCTGCATCTCAATTAATGATTGTAACGTCCTTGTTCTTTGAAAGTGTCTTGCTTGGGTGTTTTGATAAATGTCTCTTTAACCTTGAATCGCATTTTGCCGCAACTGTCAGCATGTTACAGAGCTGGAGAGGCAAGGACTCGACCAATGTTTCTGGCCTTGTAGATTTTGCTGTCATAGGCACAGATGAGCTGGTAAGAATGAACGATACTTCTCCGAACTGCTCATTTCCTGTTTTCCATGGCATAGGACTCTTTTGACAAAGTCGCAACAGAATCTTGCTCCATTTTTTATTTATTTTTGGCTTGAGAGCTCCTCTAAATGAGCTGCTGACTCATGCAGTCAAATTAAGTAAGATGTCCATGTCTCCTCCTGCCTCGCTCTCCTTTCTCTCCAGGTGCTGTCAAAAGCACTCTGATCATTGGACTGTGTTGCAGAGACAGGAATGTCCACATATCCTGTGTATAATTTGCTCTGTCACACATTGTATTTAATGGTTGATAATGAGGCTTGCTATATTCTAAACTTTCTGCCATTTGTCATTTTTAAATTGCAGATTTGTTGTTAAAGTTGATAGCAGATGGTAAAGAGATGGTTATTTGAATCTAAACTTACTTTTCTAAACTGTCACAAAATATCTAAATATCTTTTAAATAAAGATGAATTTACTTGAGAAGAAAAACTGCATAGTATATTAAGACATATAGCCTTGTTTTAATTGACCAACATTTAGTGAGGTTTATGTTTAAAAAAACAGTAACATCATGTAAAAAACTGTAAACTTTTTCTGAAAAATATTTTTATAGGAAAACAAGACAAGAATACTCACTAATACATAGAAATTATATTGATTTAAATTAAAATAGTTTTATTTTTTACCTGTGTATTATTTTTTGACATTTATAGAAAAAAACAAATCAGTTTTTTAAAAATATCAGAGAACTCCGATAATGCAAATGAATCGTGAATAAGCATTTTCAATGAAAAATGGAAGTGAAATACAGATCTCTCTGAGAAATGTGAATGTCTTATTTTTTTTAGCTTGTGTTTTATTCTCAGGGCAGAGATGGAGCAGCATTTGATGGGACGATGTGTCACACATGCATGTAGCATAAGCTAACAGAGAGAATTTCTCCTCACGCTCTCAAGGAGACACAATCCAGCTGCTTTCTTGTCATTTTATGTCACTGACTTGTTTGTAGGCTACAGTATCTCCTTGCAATGCAGGCTGGAGGAGGTGTCTGGATTCACAGTAACAGAGACTGGAAAGCACAGGGGGGCTCAGAGCTGACTGTTAGGAATGAGCACAACCAACATTCCCACAGTGAAGGCAATTATAACAGTCAACATCCCTCTGCGTTGACTTCATTGCAATTTGCACCCAGTCCTCTAAGAGCAAAAATGCGGTAATGTACAAAAAAACATCTCAACATTTTATTAGTTATAAACAGAAGTTTAACATTTTATAAGGACTTGGAGTTTGAGTTTCATTTAAGTGTTATCAGTTAGTTTCGATGTTTGAATTAGCGTTTCAAGAGCGTTTAGCCTATATTAGTAGCTACAGTTCAACAGCACTAGGACTTTTCACTCTTTGTATCGTTCCGCATTGCAGACCGACTTGTCAGCCCAATACTACAATAGGTGGCGACAAGAGGCCGTTATTTTAAATCGTTCATTCAAATGATTCGTTCAAAGACGCTGATTTATTCTGAAAGGCAAGGGAAATTCTAATGTATCTTCATTTTTTTGGGATAGGCCTATATTTTCGTGTTAGCTGAGCAAAGAAGACAAAGTACTGTCAACCTTGCAAATATTGTGTCTAAAATGTAAGTTACTCAACTTTAATTTCTTGTTTATTGAATTGTTTTGTGAAAAAAAACCCAGTCGTGATCGCGCTGGATCGATCAATACGTCGATTCGTTCAAAAACGAATGAGTCATTGAATCATTCTTAGTTTTCATATTGCTTAAAGCTGCAGTCCGTAACTTTTTTGTGTTCAAAATTTATATAATAAGCGAGTACACCATGAATCCATTTTCCAAACCGTGTTTTTGGCTTGTCCTGAATCACTACGGTACATCTATAATACATGTTTATATTCGGACTATTTAGACTGGTTCGGGTAGGTACCGCTGCGGAGTAGCCCAGTACCTGCGTGATTCGCCATAGACATAAACAGAGAGAAGTAGCTCCGGATACAATGTTCTTCCGCAAGACGCACGCAGTTCTGTTTATTAACCGCTAGAGCGAACTTTGACTCAGATGTTCCCCTAAAAACTTTTAGGAGAAAAACAAAAATGAAACAGTAGCTGGCATAAGATCATCTTGAGCAAATTTTAATGACAATGTTTTGGTTTGGTTTGGTCACAAACTTTGAGCGCCATGTGTGACAATTGTGAGTTCTCAAGACTAGATGGAGACAGATGTATGGGGTTAAGCCAGTCTCAATTTGCTCTCACTGCTGACCAGGACAAAAAAACAAACAAACAAAAAAAAATTCATATCAAAGATATCTGTTTCGTGATTTTTCTTTCATGTGTGATGTCAACTGGGTCTGTTGCGCTTCCTTTTTTTCTCCTTTTCTTGATAATTTCACTAAAATTCTAACCCTATTCTAACCTTCATTTTGCTGGCTCACAAGTACTATTTCCTTTAGGACAAGCAAATGGGAAAAAATTATCACTCTCCAACAAGAGTGCTTATCTAAGCAAGCAAAAAGGAACAATTACACATCTCAGAGGAAGACATCAACAGCAGCAATGGCTATGAAGCTTTATTAAATAAAAAATACCTCTTTAGCCCCTAAAATGGTGTGATCACAGACTGACTCATATGGTGTCGTGTTAATGGATATGTTGATAGGGCCCATGTAAGTGTCCAATGCTCTTTCATGCAGTGCAGTGACAGCATCTGCAGAGCATTAAACTGTAAAAACACGATGTTGTGAAACTCACCTCTGAGCAGCAGGGCAGAACCTCCATTGACAGACTGTTATAATGGATCTCACTTAGTATATTAAACAATGTCACAATCCAGATCAGTGTCATGTAGCGTTTGCCTGTTTACAGAATGTTCTTCACACTGATTTAGTGTCATGACTGTGTTAGCAGGATGATTGATATACCAAAAGAAAGATATAAGTGATTATTCACACTGGAAATAATATTTTTAATAACAAGAGCAAAAGGTCAAAGTTTTGACAGGTTACTAACATGGTCTAGTTACCCCCTGCTGGTAGATGTTGTAACTATACCATTTGGTTCTAAAAAACATCGGTTTCCATTAATGACCATTTAAAAACAGCAGTGTATTCTGATGAAACATTTTTTTTTTGGCATTAAAATATATAACAGTAACCAATTAGCAAATTTGCATTTATTTGATCGAAAATACAGTAAAACTGTAATATTGTGAAGTATTATGATTTAAAATATAAAATATATATTCATAAAATGGCAAGGCTGAATTTTCAGCCTTCAGTGTCAAATGATCCTTCAGAAATCATTCTAAAATGTTGATTTGCTGCTCAAGAAACATCTATCAGTGTTGCAAACAGTAGCTTAATATTTTGGTGGAAACTCATGCATCATTTTTGATCAATTTAATGCATCCTTGCTGAATAAAAGTATTAATTTCTTCAAAAAAGGGAAAAGGTCTTCTTGCTGACCCCAAACCTTTAAACATGTATTAATTAAATATTTTTTATAATAGGAGACTATCAATTCTTTTTTAAAGAAATGTATATTTTAATAATGTATTTTAATGTAAATGCAGCCTTTCGCAGTTCAAGCCATTAGTGATGGGATTGAGGCTGTGTGTGTTCCCATGTTACAGTGTGATTAGTCACATGACATTTACAGCTCAAGTGATTGGCTCAGAAAGTTCTGTGGTCCCATGTGCAAAGATCTCCTTGAGCAAGGCAGCTGTAGTACTATGTAGTTTTACTCTCTTTAAAGGTTAAGTGTCTCTATCAGTGTGAAATATGTATGTAATAGTTTAAATTTATATGCTACAGATCATTGATTAAATGCAATCATTCATTAAATCTGTGAGCAGAGTATATCTGACACAGTCAAATTATTTCCCCAAAATGGATTTCTTATTGAAGACATTTGGCATTCCACTTCCATTCCTCCTTTTTCAATAGCGATGCCTATGTGTTTCCATAATTACCATTCTTACTTATCTCTGCCCTGCTCTGTAAATGTAATTTCCCTCGCCGCAAATAAGATTGTTTTAATTCTCCTCCACTTCCATGAGTCTGTCTCTTTTTTTTTTTACTTAATTCTGAATGAAGTACCAGAATTTGAAGCTCTGCCAAAAATCTGAAGGACAGCAGACCTTGAGGAAGAGCGTGTGCCCGCATATTCTCTGCAATGTTCATCGGGGAGTCTTTTGACATTTCTTTTTTATTAGTCTCAATTATTGATATAAGCTGTGTTTAAAATTCTTTTCAAATTAGCTTGCTGTAATGGATACATAATGGTGCTCTGAATAATTGCCTTTGCAAGAACTAATGTATGAAGGAACTTGAGAAGTTAGCCATCAAGCACACACAGTTTGACTCCACAGGCTCTTTATCTGAAGGTCTGCTTCACATTTAACAGGTTAGCAAGAGGTTGTTGATATCCTGTTGGTCTCTGCTATTAAAAATGGCATTATGGAAACATCCATTATAAGTCAATATCACCACAGGGAAGCACTGAAACTAGAATTAAAGAGGCATCTTTTGAACAAAACGCTTATCAACATAACTGTAATTCAATAAGGGACTTAAGATGAATGTAATAGTATATCAAAAGAGATTCATTTTTCTATAAAAAATGAATTAAAATAAAGTTTATATTGAGTTTTTTTTTTTTACAAAGTTCTATTGCACTGTACTTTAAAAAAACCTTTTCAATCCTAGGTATGTATATTTTGGCCAGTAGAAAATGTATGTACTGTTAATGAAAGGTACTTACTTGCTCTTAAAGGGATAGTTTACTCCAAAAAATATAATTCTGTCATCATTTACTGACCCTCATGTCATTCCAAACCCATAAGATTTTTGGTTAAAATATCTTCAAACACAAATTAAAATATTTTTAATGAAACCTGAGAGGTTTATGTTCCTCCACTGAATGTCCAGGTAACCAAAACGTAGAAGATACAAAAAGGTCATAAAGGCGGCGTAAAATGAATCCAAATAAATCAAATGGTTTCATTGTTAAGAAATCTGAATCATCATATAAAGCGATTGTATCTCTTTACAAAACTTGGATCAAATCGCTCAATTCATATTGATTTGTTTTTGATGCCTTTATAACCTTTTTGGATCTTCTAAGTTTTGGTTACTTGGATTTTCTCGGGACAGAAACCTCTCAGGTTTCATTAAAAATATCTTAATTTGTGTTTTGAAAATTAACCAAAGTCTTGTGGGTTTGGAATGACATGAGGGTGGGTAAAAGGTGATGGGATGTAGCAATTTGTGGGTGAACTATGCCTTTTAATACAAAAATGTAAACATTTTAGACATGACCAAAATACTAAGAGACTTTTTACATCAGCAATTAACCTTCCTGATGCACACTGAAATTTCTCATCATTTGCACAATCATATTTGCGTTACATATAACTCTAGAAGAACATTTGAGATCATTGTTAAATACAGTTATGGATGAGCTCTTATTTCCCATTTCTGTATATCTTGAATTCCAAATTATGCTAATGCTCACTCTATCAGCCCTTGATGGTTTTTAGACTGTGCTTGGCACTAGTAAGCTGACAACTCCGAGAAGTTTCAATTTCACTGCAGGACAAACTCTGCTGAATGCTACCTATTTGCATGATAATTATTCATGCAGTGAAACTGGACGCTTTATCCAGCACTTGGTCTTGCATTTTAATACACATCTACAGTGAGCCTTTTAAATGTGCACATTTTCTACCAGAACAAGAAATGGACAAGCTGCCCAAAGTCTCATATGACTTAATTTAAAGAGAGGACTATAAAAGGACATTCTTCGCCAAATAAAAGCTTGATATATGTTCACATTGACTTAAATGTTAATTAAGAGTAGAATTAACAAAAGAAATCAAAAAGGCTAAAACCAATTAGCTTGAAAAAGTGTAAGTTAAAAAGTTAAAATCATCTCTTGTTGAAAGTTATATACAGATTTATAACGTTACAACAAAAACATTGTATTATGTTGATTAGAACAGAACTTTAATTGTAAAACTGACATGAATAGAACATCGTAATTACAGTTTGGGATCGTAAATGATGCGGACACCCAAAAGAACAGGGCATTGATTTCAGTAATGAGCCTCTGCTGCTTTATTCATGTTTGCAAATTAAAATATAATAAATTAAAATTTTTTCTAAAAATATACAAAAATACTGTAAAACTTTCCTAGAAAGCCTCAACACAGTAGTATTGCCATGTACCGCATACTATAATAAGCACAGTGGTCTATCTATTTTTGAAAACCGATGAAGATGAAACTCTTCTGTGTTGGGATATTTCCACATTCCCTTCCTTTACAACATTCCAGACTATGACATTCAGGATCGGAATGTCTTTTCTTGTACTTTTCGATACACTGTACTCAATTAAGCACATATTGAGTAGCCGGCAAATGCACACTCTCACTCACATTCATATAATTTCCGTATACGTTTTAGGCTCTGATATACACACAAGCATCATGGAGGCAACATGGGCCTGAGTAGATGTAGAAAGGGTGGAGAGAAGAACAACTTGAAGCATCTGCTCACAGTTCAGTGAATCTCTGAGCAGCACAGGAATCTGGTAAATATGGCCACTAACGTTTATAGTACATTGCTGATTGAGACAATTACACACTATTATCTACAATCATGTCACATAACCACCAACAATATTTAGAATATGCATTCACTGACATCCGATACCACTGGAGGTCTCATGTTAAAAGTGTCTGAAGGAGCAAAACATGATTTTTTTTTGTCTATTTTGTCTGCTACATTAATACTGAACAGATATTTTTGAGTTTTCTGGGATTTCCTTGCATTTCTCACTCTCCAGCCCCTGCGTATGTGATGCATAGCATGACTCTTGGGTGTCCAAACCATCCTCATGCAAAACAAATCCAATTCTGTTACATAATGGCATGAACCAGCTGATGAAAGTTTACTCTTGAATGGTACTTCCGTGTTTTGTGGGTTCATCATTTGGATTTCAGGGTTCCCACACTTTCTGACTAATGAATTTACATGATTTCCCCCTTCTCCAGTCATCTGTGACGTGAAGGATTTAAAAAAATATAGAGATCGCATTCATTTCTTTTTTGGTCAATGTAATACTTCAGCATATCTAGAAAAATTCATATTGACTACACAAATTTCCATGATTTTTTACATTTTAATTCATCTCCAAGACTTTTTCAGGCCTGAAACAAACTTTTGAAATTCCCTGATACACCCAGGACTGTGGGAACCCTCTGGTTTATGGATCTAGGAAAACACACCAGTAATATCAGTCTCATAAAAAAAAAGAAAAAAGGACAAAGCCAAAAAAAGGGAACAAAAAATGGAAAAAAGTTAGATTAACAGCTCACTCGGCTGGGCTGTTGCTTACAAACGAAGTCTGTCATGAAATCAAACTCATTCTGTCCCAGCCAGAGCTCTGGCAGCTCCTTTATTCGGTCCAAGCCCATTTCTATCACCAGTGACATCAAGACCTCCTCGTCAATAAAATCCGTGTCGATAACGTTGGGGGGCAGCATTGCTGCAGGCATGTGGTGGCCAGGCAGAGGAACCCCAGACGTGTTCTGCTTAGCGTTACTGTCTCGGAACTGCTGTCCTGTCCCGTTTAACTGGTGGCTGGCGGGGTGCAGTTCGTGCATGTAATGGTGATGATGGGAAGGATGCGTGAGGTGACCATAGTAAGGCGTGTTGAGCTTCTGCAACTGCATGCTGGCAGCGAGCTGCTGCTGCCCTTGTCCGACAAA